AAGGGATTCTCTAAAAAGAAAACACTAATTTCCTCAAAATTATTTAGCATTTTTAGAATAGGTACTCATATTCCTTTAAATTTTCCAACACTTTTACCCGTAAGGCAAATATTTAAGCTAACCACCCACCCACAAACTGTCTATGTAATATGTATAATACCTATAATTTAAAAAAAAAATCAATATTGATATTATTTTACAATATTGWTAAATATTAATAATGTACACTTTAACTTGCGAAAATAAATACCCTTACGCACACAATAGTATTATGTTTCCTATAGTTCTTTTTTACGTACAACAATAATACAGCAAGCCTTTTTTGTCACTTAAATGCCGATTCTTGTGGTAAATCAGTAAAATGTAATGTAAAATTTATATAGCTACTGTGTAATTGTAATTTAAAATATAAAACATACAATATTAACTACTTATTCAATTATTATGAATAAGTATAAAAATTATGAAAAAGTAATTTTACACCCTAACATAATTCTACCCAATCACGTAAAAAAATTTTTCGGAGATATTGCCTTAACAAAAAAAAAAATGTGTTCACTATGCCAATGCTAGTAACTACATATATAACTACTAAATAATGCACAGAATTTTAGGCTCCGCTCTTTTTGAACCTGAAATTCGGCATGAAACAAAAAATAATGCGCAACAGTCATAATGTTATAATACTAATATTAATAATAGTAATAATATACGCACGTCCAGCACCTTGACCTAAAGCGCAGTTGCAATTGCGCAAGATGACTGTGCACGGGAAATTTCATGAAACTAGATTAAACGTTCGCGGAGAAATACGATGGGCTTTCATGGAAAACTCACGTGAACGGTGATCGACATACCTATACGACGTATGACCGTGATTCGCGCGGCGAATAAAAAAAAACCGCCCTTGACCTTAGGGACAATCGACTGACGTGTTTCCGCACGCGATGAGAAAAAAACCCACTACCCACGACAGTATTGGAATTGGACACATAATCGACAGTCGTCTATATTACGTACAATATGGGTACTATAAGTATATCACTATTATAGTGCGTGATAATAATAATATTGTCACATTGACCGGAAATRCGTATTAACATGCAAATACCGATGATACAACAATGATTTAAATGAGTGGAGGAAAAGCCTTGAGGCAACTTTGGGAGATTCGGTCCAAAAAGTAAAATAATCTTTTTACGCGTATGTATGATGAATAACTGTTAAAAAATTGGTTTACGGCGGGTGTGATATAGAATATGGAGGAAAATTTCCAAATTTTATTTCAATTAAAACAACGATTTTTACGGAAAAATTGGKCCATTTACTGAAAAAATATAGTTTGCAAAAAACATTACATTAATACTATAATTTATCCACAATAATAAAGTACCTACTACTTCCTAGGTGTTATAAAATTAAAAAATATATTCACATATGCATAGTTATAATTTTAGAACAAATGACTGTATTGATAAAACCGTTAATTGTGACATTTTACTGAGAGCAAGTGCATATAATATATGTTAATATATCTACTGCATTTTCATTTTCTACTTAACAACTTTTTTAAATTGTTTAACTAATGTCAATTTTTTTCACTTGAAAATATGGCGCAATCAGAAATCAATGCTGGACTTAAATTTTGAAGCAAAATCAATTGTAAGTTAGTCCTTACATGTAGGACCTATTAGTTTGACTAATATAACTTAGGTACGTCATATTATTATGATAACAGTATTATAGCCTAATTCATCAAAAAACTACTAAAACTGTTTTCTTTGTMTATTTTTTAATTGTCACTTTGGCAAAACTTGAGCTTTTATTTTCAGAAATTTATCAGTTTCTTGATTCTCAAACTTTTCCATATTATCTGGGACTCGAGAAAAAAAACCCCGTTTTTTTTGCAATTGTATTCCTATAAATATATACGTAATATAAAATCACACATATGAAATATATATTATGGCACATTATTATTATAATTATTATCGTATCCATTTCGGACGCTGTTTCGGTTTTGGAGGTCGTCGTCGCGTCGTCGCKGTAATCGACGTTATGCGTTATTATCTACCGTTGTTCATCGACGACTCCACAACAGCTGGAAGGAGGAGAGTAGGAATCGTCAAATCTAGGTTATCCCGATAAATACCAAATCTCGTGCCGTGCCCGTCGCACAGCAGTCCGTCAGTCTCAGTCCGTCCACATCGTTTTATCTACGTACCGCTAAAACAATATTGTGTATACCTATCAATTCAACCACAATTACCGCGGTCGACAGTTTGTTATTCGCACTTTGCACGCCGTCCCATCGGTTCACGCACACGATTATACAATATTACTATCGYCGTCGAGGTAAATATTAAATTATTATTATTTTTATCTGATTCAAAACTCGTGATGTGCTCTCGTGCCCGCAATTATTGAAAAGAATGATAAATAATAATTGCGTATTGTAGCAACGTAGATATTTTTTAACGAAGTAGGTATTGATGATGAATTTTTAACAAATCGATTTTTAAAATTGGTTGAGAATAAAAGAGACCGACGACAATAATTACTAATGTTTTTTATCTTATTATRGTTGAACTTTGCTTAATTTTTAGTAGGTATAGGATCAGAACGAAGCACAATAATTTAAGTGTTATTAAAAAAATACAAGCAAATGTTCAGTAAAGTAAAATATTTAAATACAATGCTAAATAAATGGAAAACATTAAAATTATCATAATAATAATTAAATAACTCTATAGTCTATAGGCTATAGTGTACTTAGATTTCATGAAATTTTCAAAAATTCCACATACATACAATGAACAAACATTCTACTAGATTTGTTTGCTTAGTTTATTTATTTTTAAATTTAATAAATCTCTAAAAAGAGGTTTGAATGAGCTTATTTCAAATTATTAATTATTATTATTTTTAATTGATTTTATGGCTAAAAATCTTAATCAATTTTAACATCTTCATAGGTTGAACATTTTACAGACATCTTTGTACCTCAAAAATTTAATTAATCTTGAGAATTTCATCAATTTTCAATAGTTAACAAAAAAATGTTCAATATTTTTAAGTCACTTCGGGTAACTTTTTTTCTAATGTGGTTGATTAATAATAATACAGAATCGGTGCAAATACATAAACAATATTTTATGCAATTTGAAATTATCTTGACCTAACTTTATAAGCTTTTGTTGACCATTTTACAGAACCATATTCTTTTTTCATAGTCAGTAAAACTATAGAAAAAGTTTATTTAAATTTTGAAGATAAGTATAATTTGTGGAACCTAAATACGTAATTAAATATAAACACGCATATATTATCATGATAATTTATAATTAATATAAAATTAAAACGTACATAAACAAATAAACATATCATTAATATTGAATTCGCATTTGAACTTTATTAAAATACTAAAATCCATATTGATGACTGATAAGTAYATAATATCATATAGATTATAGAATACAAATATAAATATCACATTGAACTAAATCATATTTTTATTTATAATTGAATAATTCAAGTTGATCATATATTATAGTTGTTTATTAAGCTTCAGATGTTTTTTTCAATTAAATCAGATCAAACATTTAATCACTTAAACATTACACGGCCACGATTATAGATAGAAATAATCGTAATCGATATTCTATCTGTAATCATGGACTCAACTAAAAAAATTATTTCAATATATAAACATATTTATATATATTATATATGTGCACTTACACATGTACAGTTGTGAGTTTTAATGAGTTGAAATATTTTTTTTTAGTTGAGTCCATGATTACAGATAGAATAACAATTACGATTATTTCTATATATTATATAAAGTATAATTTTATTATTTTAATATACCTAACATATCCAAATGTACCTAGAATAGTAATTTTAGATGAAATTAAATAAATTTGATTGAGAACAATATTTTTRTTGAATAGGTAAATAAGTAAAATAAATAAATAAAATAAATTTTAAATTTTAAAAATAATTGCTTTTAATTTAAAAATTATATAGGTGCCTATAATAAGATACTAGCTTAAGTAGCTTTAGTTCTAATAGTTAAGTATAAATATAAATTGTTTTATTAAAATATTTCTTTTCTGCCTTCTCATATGTTCAATTACTTTTTTACGATGATTTAATTATTTCATTTGAGTTGTGATTTGTTCTGTTTCTCCACAAAATTGGAACACATTATAAWATGTTCTTTATTTAAATATACATATATCAATTTTATTTCAAAAATGTATTCGCAATTAGAAAATATGACAACTTAATGTACCTAACTTAATGTAAGAATCACCAAATTAAAAATATATTATTGTTGTTATAATTATTACTWTGATTATTATGGTTAATCCCAAAGTTATAAGTATAAAGTGTGTATTATAATGGATTCAACGGGTTCCAAGGTTCTTGTTTTCCCTAAAGTCTCACGTTTCACATTGTATATTACATTTTTGTTTGAAAAATACATGGGTACCTAATTTTTAAAGATTTCTGGATTTATTTTTGTCGATACCTGCCACTTATTSTTATAACAAAGTCCTTAATTAGCCTCTATCGTTTATACTATATATGTTTATGCAATTTAAAATATTTAATTTATGGGCTTAATTAACCAACCGTRCGTTCTATTGTGGTACACAGGGAAATATATTTTGTACTAGTTTGATCCCGCGTGCATTCAAAACGGTAAAATACGATAGTGTTCATCGTCATAATTACTTTTCGCCGGTCACAATATTATTATCCAATTGTATGATCAAGAGAATAAAATACACCAAATGTAGTAATTGTTGACTTGTTGATATCTTTCACAATCGTTAGACATCAATTCTCCTGCACTATCGCAGCCCACAGGTCACCATAACTCGTAACATAAGAACGACGACAATGATTTTGATGCCTAATAATATCAGCGATTAAAAAGCGAATAGAATACTATACAGAAAATACTTGCTATCCTGCACGAGGGACAAATTAAATAATTACCATAGATAAATATTTACCCAGTGATGAATTTTAAACTGCGGCAATGGAGTATCCAAGGGATTGTTTGTGAATTATTACRACCCCCTCTAGCCATTTTAAATCAAATAATTACATTAACTAAACTTTAAATGAATAATCATTTTATTTTATTATAATGTAATAATATAAWTACTTATAAATCATAACACACATAATTGTATACATATTTAAAATCAAATACATATATAGTTTTTTTGTAGGTATGTGCAGTAGGTATATTATTTATAATTAACACCCCTCCCTCTTGTGAAAATCCTATTTAAGCCACTGTACTGCAGTATCCGATTAATTTATTCGTGAAAAACTGTTATAAATTGGATTGTGATCGTTGGTGCCTTTTAACATATTAATTTTTAGGCCATTTTTGTAAGCTGTTTTGTAAGTGAATGATATTTTTATTTTCATTTATAAAAATCATACATAGATAATATTACCTACGGTAATATATATCCGAACACCAAKAGTGGAATTGGGGCAAACGGAGAAACTGTCAAGGGCGCAATTATATCGCTTTTTTTTCATTCGTATTCTTTATTTCTTTAAAACGCTTTATTTGGATATTATATAATTTATCAAAGGTTTAACGTTAACCACACGTTTAAAGTACACCTCTGTATATTTATTTTTGTCACTCGTGTTCCGCACTTTTAACCGTCTCTTTCATGCTAGCTATATGTATACTACTGCAATTAAAATAAAAATTACATTTTTGTATACTAATTATTATTTTCCTTTACTTTTGAGTACTGCAATTTTATTTTTCAAGCATCAGCGATCACAGGCAAATTTAAATTGTTTCAAATGTTTTCAATAAGTGGGTCTAAAAACTGTTTTTGATATTGTATAATAATAATATAATATAGGTTTGGCCATTGACTATATATTGTTTTCACATACAATACAACCGTACGGTCACCGTATATAGAGCGATTTTTATGTTTCCAAAAACTTTTTGCCTTAATTTTTTTGAGARGGAGGTCTACTAGGTGWGCAAAAAAAAAATCATCGTATTTAAACGATACATATAATTTACACGCGGTTTTCGTAATAAATTACAGCCATTGTCAGAAACGCGTTCATTCATAACTCGAAAAAACTCTAATATAACACTATAGCCTATATAGGTTAGGTACATAATATACTACGTACCTACATTACGCCGCACTCACGACATGCAATCACGGTTCGSACTCRGAAATGCATTTCCGCCGCCACGCCGCCGCGGCCRTCACATATGTGTCTAACTTTTACAATAAACRTACTTAGGTAGGTACAGTATAACACTATTAACACTCATATAATATAATATAACTGACTCAAGACCAGCAGTTGGCGACTAAATCATACAAATACGTACTTGCTAGATACACATATAAGTGTGTATAACTATAATCAGGGCCGGCCCAAGGTATTTTGACGCCCCGGGCAGTTTTTTGAAAGGCGCCCTTAATCAAAGGCTCCATAATACATTTAATACTTTTTATACTTACCTACATATTTTGYTTAAAATTATACTTATRGATAGGTAAAGGATTGCAAAACTTATTTGGATACAATTTATAGACTTATCGGCTGTAACACATACTTTTTTTGGTTTTCCCAAGTTAATGAATATAATATATTATCATTGTGTATTATTTTTTAATTATTTGTAATATAATAATAAAAACTGGAAAGTGGAGTAAAATCTATAAAAAAATATAWWTARCAGAATATTCTGTCATAGATAATTTAGTCATTTAGCTATATTATTGTCAATGTGAATATTATGCTAAAATTTATAAAATATTCGTATATTATATACGCCCATAAAAAAGTAGCGCCCCGGGCTACCTTCGCCCGTATCTTGGGCAAGCATTGGCTATAATATATAGATGATGTTTGTACCATAACTAGGGTACCAATCTATACCTCTATATAAACCAAAAGATCGTTTTGTACTCGTCGTCGCTCGGACGATTTCACTTCAATTGGCAGCGTGCACGGACGCGATATACATCATATATCCAAATAGTATAATAATAGTCGGTTCAACGAATTATTTGATATTATAGAAAATTATGYGCCGAATGCACTCGGCGTGTGGAGATGGGTTTTTGCGATGACGACGATCCGGAAACGCATTTCCCCCTCCGTTGTCGCGATCCATAACTCATATCATAACAATAATATTATTAWTATACTTCAACTCCTAGCCCAACCGACGAAAACGACGACTTGCACTTTTATTCAATGACACGAATTATAATTACAACGCTTTCTGTGCGACGTTTTAGCCATCTTCAGTCAAACATAATATTATTAAT